AAGTTGTCGGAGGTGAGAGTGTGAATGCCTTCGTCTGCCGAAATCTCAGGACTGACAGCATTGTGTGCCTGTGGAAAAACACATATTGTTTCAAATGAAATTTTCAACTTCCAGGGTGGAAAGTAACATATCTTCAAGGTACAGGCAAGACCCTTGGTTATTACGTTTAAAATAACCAAGGAAAGTATCTGTAAAATCCACTAAGGCTTCTTAAAATAGAGCATTTCAACAACCAGCTGTTGGCTCCCTCGCAATAAAGTATCACATAACTTAGCGCACTACTTTTTATTTTTTATTTATTTCCAAAAAAATACAAATTTACAAAACACATACAATTCCAAGCCACAAAAGCCAATATGGCTTGTCTGCAGAAATTATTATAATTTTGTTATTTCACAGTGCTTATTTACAATCAGTCTTTGTTACACAATCAGTCTTTTGTTTCCCTTGTTTTTCTGTTAAGTACCAATAAACTTAAGTACCAATACACTACTTCCTGACACTTCTATGCCAATTATTATTGTTAAGAAATCTGAACCAAAATAAAATCCACTGAATCCATGGATAACAAACAGTAGAACCCCTCATCCGACCATGACCGGACCGGGCCTTGGTTCCAACCAAACACAGCCAAAAGGTCTGATATCGGGCATAATACTGCAGTCAACCGTCTCCCACAACATGAGCATAACTAGTAGTCTCGTCGACTTCGGTAATTGTCTCCTCTGACGGCGGCAACACCCGTTATAGGCGACAGTGGTGATAGTCTACCGCAATTACAGCAACATCTGTGAGCGCCCTTTCGGTTAACCGATTGAGCTCTGTGTTATCGTCCCAGACAGGAAACAAAAGGACGGTCGGACACTAGTTCAGATATCCCGAAGAGTCGGTTATTCCGAGGTCGGATATGAGGGATTCTACTGTAGTGATATTTGTTACTTAATATCTAAGTGGGCCTATGTTATTTTTAAATTAATGTTTTCAGATTAGCTTGAAAATAAAATAAAATTAAGTGAAGTAGATTGATCTTAGATACCTAGACAGCTAAATTAATCAAAAAACAAACCAACCAATCCAACAATATCTTCTCGAAGCTCCCTGAGATTTGCCTGAAGTTCTGCAACTTTATCTTTTAACTTTTTATTTGCTGCACAGACATTTTTGATTCTGTCTTTTTGTTCAACTTCAGCTTCATGAAGCTCTTTCTTTAGTTCATGAATTTCCTTCGACTTCGCTTCGTTAGAAGAGCTGTGAACCAAAACAGTTGTGATTTCAAACCAATTAGCATTTGAAAACCTGATTTACCTGTCACAGAGCTTGTTTAAGCAATAAAGCTATAAAAGTTATCATATCCATTCTGAGTTCATGTATCTCTCATACAGGGCCTACTTGGTTTAAAATAAATTTGGACCATATAACCTTTGGATTTTAATATTAAAGTATTAAGTTGCATGAGAAAAATCTGAAGTGGTAGAGCACAGGACTTCAATCCCTGAGGTCTCGGGTTCAAATCCCACCTATCACCAATGGATTTTATCTAAGTGATACCTGATAATACCTCTAGGCCTAGCCTGATGTAAAGTGGACAAATATTCCGGCCTAAAAAAAAAAAAAAAAAAAAAAAATATCAGTAGAACTTCAATAACATAATAGAGCCACGACTTACCGTAAATGTTTATGCAAGATTTGTTTGTAACGAAGTTCTTCTTTAAGCAAAGTCAACTCTTGCTCTGCATAATTCAACGATTCCTTAAAGGGAACCAACGATGCCCCGTCTTGGTACAAATGAGCTTGAAGTGCTTCGTCTAACTCATCTCCAACTTTTACCTTGCCAGTTTCTTGTAATTCCTTAAATCTGAAACAAATAATTAACTTATTTAGGCTTATTAAAACAGTTTTGTTTTAGTTCAAATAGCATTATTTTCCTTATACTTTGAAAAATTTAGCTTAAGCCAGAATAACAAACATTTTTTAAAAGCAATCTGAAACAAAAAATGGACTTTTCTTTTCACTAAATACATTTATACTTACTTTTCCAGTTCCTCAGTTGTAATACAGTTCGCTTCTGTCAAGTTTTGGCTCAGCCATTCAAAAAGTGGTTTTAAATGTTTCAAGTTCTCAAACGAATTGATTTCATCTTGCGATAAATTATCCAAGCTGTAGTTCGTTGCAGACAATAGTTTAAGTATTGTTTCTTTAAAGTTACTTCCCATTCTTCAGAGCGTAATAAAAAAATAAAATCTGAAACAAAATAAATAAAATCAGAAATCAGTCTTCAATACAGCTTGTTAGGGATGTTGGTTTTGGCTGATATAAGTTAGGCCTAAGTTACTGTGTATAGCCAAGAAAAAGAATAGAAAGTTATAAATGAAGTAGGAATGGACAGCAAGCTTCAGTCTGTTGGAAAATGCATCAAAGTCACAACCAGTCCTTTGGAAAATCATAATGGAACCCACATTTCTACATAAGAGGTATAAGAGGCTGATTGTCCAAAAATGCTAATCATTTCAGAGGTGAACTCTCTACCACATTAGCGTTTCTTAGCCATGAAAGTGAAATCAGCAGTGGTGTCTTTAAAGCAAATAGAACTGTACACCTTAGCCTTTGCGACATCAGCAAGGTTTTGATGAGCTGCTGTATAAGTTTCATCACCTGTAAGCTATCGATGTATAGTTTGGGTGAAGTAGTTTTGGACTCACAAGCTTTTTGCACATCTCAGGCAAGTTGATTCCATCAACTTAGTGCCTTAGTTGATTCCATCGGTGGAGCGCCATCCAAATTGGCCTAACTACACCATGGCGTTCCATAAGAAACCAGGGCTCAGCCCTTCCCTATTTACCATAATGATAAATTATTTATACCTGATGACCATACAAGCTATTTGCAGATGACACAACCCTAAACTCGAGGGGCAAGGACAACATAGTCCTGTGAACCTTGGAACTCGCCAAAAATTGGTTTAGGTACCACAAATAGCCTTCTCGTAAATGAGGAAAAAACACAATTCGTGGTATGTAATCAAGTCAGCAGTGGGGGTTGTAAAATTTCTTGGCTTCTTCCGGGTGGACAGAAGGTCCAGAAGTTGAACTGGTATAGCCATATCCACCAGGTAATTTATGTGTAAAACCCTTCCAAGTAATCCATCTCTACAAACTCAAGCGCCTTATCACACTAGCCTACTTCATCTTTTGAGAGAATTTTGGGTACACTTCCATATAGGGTAACCTTACCTAACTAACCAAACGATGTATCGAATTAAACAATCGAATAATCAACATTACTCATTCGGTTGTTTGTGCCAACAGATATGGAAGTGTACCCAGAATTTTTCAGCGGAGTGTATTTTGAAATGATTTATTGTCGTTAAAACTATGTACAAAGTTCATGACAATCGTCAAAATAAAAACAAAACAATCAAGATGGCTCTGGCAACTAAAATATCTAAAACTCTAAACCAAAGTACTCTTCATGTTTATACAGGCAAGCTTGGGTTAGAGTAGTTTTTAAAACATGTTTGAATTTTAAAACACACAGGTTTTTGATGGATGCAGGCAAGAAATTGTACATTTTAACACCTTGGTACTCAAAACTATTTTGTGTGGCTGTATACTTATGCCTTAGTGTAGACAGATTATCTTTAGATCTAGTACAGTAGTTGTGCACATCAGATATCTTTTCAAAGTGAGAAATGTTTTCTTTTACATACAACAAACTTGCCAAAACATGCAAAGATGGAAATGTGATAATGTTAAGACCCACAAGACTAAGACCCACAAGACCTTTTATTTAGGAATCTGCTGTTCCATGAATTATTGTTCACTATTGCAACTGCAAGACGAACAAAATTCTCCAAGCACAATGAAAACTAAGATCCTGTATTTCTACTCATAAAGTCATTATCATAATGGTAAATTGGCATACCTATATTTAAGCTGGTTTCGAGGTGTTAAACATTGAAACTTTAGGAACTAAGAAATTGTATTTTTATCTGTACAAGAATAAGAAAACAAGTCACGACGAATGGGAATGAATTAATGACACTAATCACTAAAATGGACAGTTGACGTTGACAGTACGGCGATTGTCGGCGAATATGATTAGACGTCGGCTGGTACAACAGATTCTGTTGAACAGAACAGCAGAAAGTAATTGCATTCTTTCCCGCGCTTTCCACAAGCAGTAAATCAGAAATCAGTCTAGTGACACTTAAAGCTTTGATTATGGACTAATGCTTTAATACATGTAAGGACTAATGAAATTAAAAAAATAATACTTAAATGTAGAACATGAAGTGCTATCAAAATCTAACTTAAACCAGCACACTGTATGCGTTAGAATTATATAAGGACATTTTAAAGGCAATCATCTCTTGTATTTTTGTTTTAAAATGGTATATTTCTGTCATGTGACACTTAACTATACTAATTATTTACCTATTGCTTATCTTTTGGCTTAACATTCATTGTACGCTGTATGTTGTCCTCTGGCTTTTCAAACAAAACTTTAAGCAAAATCACTAAATTAACCCAAAAATAACATAAAAATGCCTATTATTGGGGCCAACTTCACGCAAGTGAGATAATCCTATAAAGACTTAAAAATTCCAATAAACCCGAACGTTGCCATAAATAATTATAGACATATATCAAAATCAAAGTCACTCAAGATTAACAGGTCCTCGGTTTTACATTAGGTTGACAAGTTTTTATTGCAGTATCCCATATCAAAAACTACAGTATAATTAATAGCATGGTGGAAGGAAAATACATAGGATAATAATAAAGTTGTATCATAGATTAAACATAGGCCTACTCCTAGTTTATAAGAATGAGCGAATGAGCTGTTTGGCTGTCTAGAATCAAGGCCAGCGAACCGGCTGTAGAAATAAAAAATAGTTAAAACAGAATCAGCTGCTCGTCTCATAGTTTATACATGACCTTGGCTATCAGCTGTTATGTAATTAATTCAAGTAAGCTTCCTCCTAAACTCTCTACTTTAGCTGTTTAGCTTCCTGTTTTGCTGACTGTTGTTTCTGCTGTAGCTGTGTGTTCGTAACCTCGGACTCGGATGTGTTTATTAGAGTAAACTAACGTAAGTTACGGGTTATGTGAGGTTGAGTTGATGGTAGGGGTTTCTAATTGTGCTATTTTGATCAAAAGCGATGTCGTCCGGTGATAAGTCCTTCGATTAGACATTACTTTATGCGAAATAATTTTGGAAAAGGCTCCAAAATGGAGTTTAGGATAGACTGGATTTTTCCAACGCTTAGAAAGCCTTTTCTTTTTTGGAACATAGCTAGTTCCCTGACCGTTGCAGCTGTTGGTCTTTTTAGCAAACTTCTTATTGGTAAGTCTGTTTTAGATATACCTAAGTTATAGGTTCTAAGCCACCAGAGTGTTTAAAGCTAGCTATTGACACCTGAAAAATCAAGTCCAAACTTCAATTTATTAGCCCTAGTTCTGCCTATTCAATCTTGCCTTTTGTTTGTATTATAGCCTATTAGTATTTAGGTAGCACTACCAGGTATCTGAAACTTATCAGCTCAAAAAAGTGTGTAAAAGAAGAAGACCTAGGCCAATGTAGGAAATGTTACCTAGCCTTAATCCTGGATATCTCGAGATTCGTTAACTTATCTTGCCTAGATTTAAGCTTCTGAGGATAGCAGGCAAATGGTGGCCTCTTTTGGATAGCATTTGCCTACTTTGAGTTAAGTTAGGTGGGACTAAGTTTAGGCCCCCTACTGAGTAGGCCTATCTAAGTACCGGTAACTTAAGTAAGTTAAAAAACACCTTGGTTGACTTTTCTTCAAGTCAACAATGGTGGGTTAAAATGTTTAACTTATTGTTAGACTATTTTTATTCAAGGTAAACTATGTTTGAACCGTAAATTGATTAAAAAATTGCATGATCCCTCAATCCGTCAAGCACACTGCATGTTAAATGAAAAACTTTACAGTACCAACTTATCGCCGTCTACTTAAATATGGATTGTAATGCAAGCAAGTGTTGGATCTACAGAAGAAAGCCACTTGTATGACCATAAAATATCTTAATAGGCCTAGGGCCTGTCAAATAAGTTATTACTTACTCTGAACTTCCATGTAAATAAGCTAACTGAAATATTTCATAGAGACACAAATATTATTATTTTAACCGAAATAACTTATAACACTCTAATGTATCTTTCTAAAGCATGACATAGGCTAAGCTTTTTTTGAGTGTGAACTAACCTTCTTGTAATGGAATGAAAACAGCATGTTAACGTTTCAAGTTATAGGCTAACCAATTAGGCCCTAAGTCAATTGTTAATGTACATATCAAGTACTGTAACTTATTGGAGGAACAAGGATTTTAGTTGGAATAGATGCAAGATAACTTAAGTTCAGACTACTTTGGTTAGGCAGGCAAATAAATTGTTAGTTTCATAAATGTTTCCAAAAATCAGTTTTCGGCCTGACAATAAAATACCCCATGGACACAATTTATTAAATATTTAAAAAATACAGGCTTAAACTTAAGTTAAAAAAGTTATTTATTTTGGAACAATATAAACTAACTGGATAAAATGAATTTAAATTTGATGGAAGTGAAAACGGGATATGTAAAACACAATTTATTAGCCTATCCTATTTCAAACAATGTCGGCTATTTATGTGACAGGAGGAGTTGATCTCTAATTTGACGGTAAACTGTTTTGTTTATAATGTTTTACATTAGCAGTGTGAAAAGTAAGCCCTAGTAACCTACACATTTGAGATGATCCTTTTCCTGTTTGATAGACCATAACTTATTAGGCTAGACCTTGCAACTTTCATTCTGAAACTTAGTTACAACAAATTTTAACCAAAAACATATGTTTTGGCACTTAAAAATAAATTCCAAGAATGTTCAATCGAGCTGCGTAGACTCACAGTCAGCTGTTCCTGGTTATGTGCTCACAGTTCTCAAGTAGCGAGCTGTATGCTTATATGGGCGCCTGTGTGAAAGTTTAACTTTGTAAATCTAACTAGTAGCATAATAGACACCATAACCCAACTACTAAAAGCAGCTACCTACACAAAAAACTTGATTGCGGCAAATTTTCTTATTTAAAACCGTGTTGAATAGTCTCAAAACTTACTTATTGTACGACTCTGGTAAAGTTGGTGAGCGACTAAGTTTCGGAAACAAAGTTACATCGTACAGGCCGTAGATGATTTGGAGTTTTTCGACTTGTCCTTGAACTAACTATGTTTTCCAGGTTCAGGTACAGTAACATGACGAGAATGTAGTGCTTATGTTGGTATGTAAAGAAAGTTAAGTCTGACTATCAACAATAACCGCATCTAATGCTTGCCTAATATACTAACTGCCATTAACTCTAGATTCTGCAAGCAGATTTCTCATCCTGTTTAATCTAAAGCTGGTTTTGATGTGGATTTCATGTCCGGTAACCGGGTGTTGACTGATTTTTTCTCTCTGAAGCCATAAAGCCGGGTTTAACATTCGATGCCAGTAGGCGAGACAATTGTCTTAGGCCATTGTCATTACGTGGTTACCGAATTATTGTAGGCCAGGCAAATTGAAAAAACGTTGAACGAGAACCTGTTCACTTGAGGCCAACACTTGCCCAGGCATTATACTGTGAACTAGGGTACTATTGTCAAAGGCAAGGCAGCGCTATTGGCCTACACTGTTTACATGGCGCCAATTGTCAGGACAACTGGGTTTTCGAGGAGTGGAGGCCTCACTGGGCCCGGCTCATTGTCCTCAGTCTACTCCCGGAGACAACTGAATTTTGGGGCAATTGTGAGGGCAGTTGGCAAGGCAATTCGCCTGTTTTAAAGTGTTAACACAAAGCCAATAATTTCATGCCAGTCAGTTGTCTTCTGACAATTGTCTGGCCAACTGGCATCGTGTAATCCGGCTTAAGCCCTAGGCCACAGGCCAGTAACAGGCAGGTAAGTTGCCTCAGTGTATTCCTAGTTCTCCGAGGCAACCTGCCTGCCTGCTGGCCTTGTGTAAACGGGGCTTTAGGCCTGATTTTAAAGTAGGCTAAGTTTAATTGCACACACTTTAATTACTGGTTAAAATACAAGGAGGCAAGCAGTAAGCCTAACTAAAAAATTCTAAGTGGCGGTAATAACGTTTAAATTAGTTCAGTAAAACAACAGGAGTAGAAGTGGAAGAAATTAACGCCCACACACGTTATTGGACATGAACATACTTTGGAACTTATGCTGATCTACCAGGATGATAAATCTATATAGCCGAGTTTGCACGAAGCCAGTTGGAAGGTAGGTTTAACCTGAGACAACCTGCCTGAGGTAACCTCCCGGCCTGCTGGCCTCATGTTAATGTGGCTTAAAGAAACATGGTTCATCTGTGGTGGTACTTTGTCCATCAGTACTTAGTGCATGGGCTTGAAAGATGCATGTATATATAACGGGATTATTTTATTACGACAATATTATCATGATTATTTAAAAAAAAACTGTTATCTTGAATAAACTTATTAATTACATTCACATTCAATGATTATTACTTATGTTTCACACAATCACAAAATGGTTTTTTTTTACCAGAAATCTTTACAGTGATTGACTTTTAGAGGTACACAACACTTGCAGATGATTTAACTTTTAGTCCTTGGAGGCTAGCGGCCATCTTGGATGGTTTCATACAGCTGCTGAAGAGTTAATAATCATCCAAAAATATTTTTTCAAACTAAAGTGATTATAATTTAAATACCTAGGACACTATGAGATTAGGAATTTTCTTTGTAGTTTTAAATTGTTTTCCAAGGAAGTCCATGGAAGTAAACGGCAATCTAGGATTTGCCCGCCATAAGAGCAATTAATTTTGTTAATTTCAAACAGCCGCTGAAGGGTTATTTAACCATCTCAAAATATTTTTTCAAATACCAAAGTCATTGTAATTTAAATATCTAGGACACTGTGATAAGAAACTTTCTTTGTAGTTTTTTAGTTTAGTTAGAATGTCTAGGCTCCAAGGACCCTTTAGCTTGCCTAGGTATAGTACGTGACTAAACTTGTGTAGATTTCAAATACACTCAAGTACTTGTAGTGTTATAGTTTACTGAGTAACCAATGTAGGATCATGTTGTACTTATATTAGGCCTAAGCAACCGGATTCTAACAATATAACTTTGAGCTGATTTATATGAGAATAGAACTGTCAAATACAATAAATTGTAGCCTAAGTTGTCTTCTTGATTTGATCTCGTCATGCAACGGACAGATGATGGTTTATAAATGAGAACTCCGCTGTCAGTATTGATCAATGCTGTACAGTGTAAAGGAGGTGAGATAAGCCATACAAATTCCTCTGGCTTCCCAACACCAACACTTGGCTGGCCGTTGCAACTCCTGAACAAAACTGTCTTTCAACAATAAATGAAAGCCAGTCCCTCTGTAAAAGTTTAAAATAGATATTGGAGTTTTAAACTAATAACCGATTGGGCATATCACAACATACCGTATGCCCTTTGAAATAGATAATAAAGCACATGCGAGTGTGGAAATTTGACATTTATTTGGTTTATCTCAACCCAGTCTCAACATTATTTTTGCCATTTTCATAGCGAATTTCCCATATAGGGAATAAGCTATTACCGTAGGTCTCATGGTAAGACCTGGACCCAGAACCGATTTGCTTTTTTGTTTGGAGGTCCCAGGGGCCAAAAATAACATTTGTTCAGATTCATGTGTCTGTTAACAATAACTAAAAAAAATCTGTTAACAATAACTAAAAAAAATTATCCGATTTTGATAAAATTTTGTGTGTTAACCTACATCTATTCTAACAAATTCACAAACCAGCAACATCTATAGGAACGGGGTTTTATGGGGTGAAAATTAGATTGTATCATTTTTAACCCAAAAATATAATAATTTTACAATTTCTTTCTAAACCATTTCGTAGAGCTAAAAAAGAATTAAAAATATATCATATTAAAGCTCGGTGTTTTATGCCTAACAATTACAGAGAACATTTCAAAAAAAGTCTAAATTTAAAATTCCCATATTATTCTTATGTAGAATAAACTGTTGAATTTGCGTGTTATGGACATATTTTGATCAAATTTGGAAAATTTTTCTATTTCATAGTTAATAATTAACATTTTTTCAAAAGAAAAACATTGTTACCTTCCCTTTTGCAGCAAACCTATGCACTTGTTTTAAACTAATTATTTTTAGTTGAAATAGGTTTAATAAGTATGAAATTTTAGGGTGATATTTGAGTGAAAATCCAAGTCAGACAAATGGAAATTCGATTAATCTAGTCTGCATGTTTGCTGCGGCAGGGGTATTTCCTGTTGAAAACATTTGAGTTATTTTTTGCTGT